AAAAAATAGAAAGTTACAACCGTTTTAATTATGTTGCCCAAAATGTACTTCAAAAGGGGAATTTTTTTTCATATTAACATATGAAAGTTAAATATTTAATAAATGGAAAATAAGAAGGAATTTTTTTTAATTTTCAATTTTAGACTATTTTTAATTTCTTCTTTTAAAGCGTTGGGGAAAAGGGGGGGAGGTTTTTAAAAAGGGCGACAGCGTCAAAATTTGCGAAAAAACCGTCACGGATTGAAAATGTTTGTCTAGAAATATACAGAACGGGACAATCCTTCCCGCCTTCAAATTCCAAAAAAATATTTCTCTTCACTTCCCTGAAGAAGGGGCACCCAGGTTTGAACCAGGGACCTCTCGATCAGCAGTTGAATGCTCACCACTGAGATATACCCCCGGTCAGCGAACCTGTTTCGTTTCTGGAACGGATACAAAAATGCTTTATCTAGAAATATACAGAATGGGACAGATCATTCCCCCCTTTCAAAATTCTAAAAAAAAAAAAAAATTTTTTCGCTTCATTTCCCTGAAAAAAAGGGGCCCCCCGGTTTGAACGGGGACCTCTCGATCTGATCAAATGCTCTACCACTGAGCTATCCCCCCTCGTCAAAACCATTGCTTTGCGTTGTGGGGGCCCGGTCACATTCTGTTCAATTCATTTCCGGTAGCGCCCCCCCCCCATGTTATTGGTCCATCGACCCTGTGCGGGAGTGTTTAAATTTATTTAAATCGATTATCTCTGGTTTGACTGGTCCGATTGACTGAAGGTTAGTATCGTTCAACTCTGCTCGTGACCGCCTTTTGTCCTGGCCCAGCTTTCCCTGCCAAGATTTTTAGAAAAAATTTTAATCTTGTTACGTCAAAAAAAACTTTTTACTGCGAAAAAAAACCTTTTTTTAATTTTGTAATTGTGGTACACAAAAACCATTAAAACTTTGCTTTTTATAAGTACACATTGCATGCTATAAAAATGTTTTATATTTCATTAAAGAAAATCTCTCATACTTAAAAAAAATATGTTCGTTCATCTTTTACAAACGGTTGAGAATTTTGTGTGAGCATATATATATATGCATACACAATTTGAAGCATAGTGTAGTTCTAAGTCTTATATAGCAATGGGTACAAAGATAATATCGGTTTTTTTGGGATTATCTTTCCATTTTCATTTCTTTTTAAGCTATGAGTTTCTCATTGTCTTGCCAATCCCTGTTCTTTATCGAATATTTTCAAAAATCTAAATTCCTGCCTTCAATGAAAAATTCCAGCTTTTACCAAAAAGAAAATCCCGGATGGGAAGTATTTTAGTACCATGGACAAAACTGCATCTCTTAAAAACACTAACACTAAGAATTTCAGTAAAATAATTGAAAATATGTGCAAATCAAAGATAGAAATAAGAAAATATCAGTGTCCGTATAGCGTTCGTGCGAACTGGTTTCGGTCAGCTTTCGGTAGATCCATACTATGTACTTTCGAGCCAGTTAAGATTTTATTTCTAGAATTAGTTTAAATGATGTGTGTTTTTGGGCTCAAATGTTTGACATACATTTATTCTAAAGACAAAAACTCACAGAAAATCCATTTTTTTTATATACCAGCAGTATATTCTATTAACTAAAGTCTATTGTTGATACTTATCAGGGTTATATATTACATTTAATTTTTGAGGTTTTGTCAAATCCATAGAAAATAGCTGGAAAATGTCGTAATTTAAGCAACGTGCAATAGTGAATTTTCTCAAAATAAAAAAAGTACATAAATAGTTCTTTAGAAAACCTAAAATCGCTTCTGGATTCAAAATGCCATCCATTAGAAATGTTAGATTTTCACAAATACAAATACAAAAAGACCCAAAATATTTTATGCAATGCATTGTAAAAGCAGTTCTAACCATTTAGACGCATTTCTTAAGCATTTAGATCGGTGCGATGCATTTTTGAATATCGATTTCTATTTCCTCTAATATAATTCCCATTTATCCTGATCTATATGTCTTCGGCGATTTCTAGCTAAACTAATGGATTTTTGCTTTCTCTCTCTCTGCATATTCTTTTTGAACAAACTGTACTTTTTTACCATGGAATTCTTTCAATCATTTACATTCTTCAAGAGACAGTTTCCTACTAGACATATAAATTACTGTTCTAAATATTTTAAGAATTTCTTTAAACATGAAATCCACGACACAGCTTAATCTAACACATCTTGTGTTAGGGACACCGTAATTCAAGAAAATGCCTTTGAAACAATCGTAATTACTGGCTCTAAATAGTACGTGAAAATGTGAAATAACTGTTTTTTCTAAATACTATAATATAAACTACTTATAAAAAGAGCTACAAATTGTACAAAAAGGGTTATTGAAACTAATATAATTATGTCTACATAATGATTTGTAAAAAAACATCAACCAAACGATATTTTAAGAATATTATTTTGAAAAACAATTTGTGCTGGTATATTACCAAAACCACATTAGCTAAAAGGAGCTAAAAATCTACATGTAACAATTTCAGAATGCGATAAAAACAGTTTCTGCGATCAGAAATCTGAATAAAAAAGTATAATTACCCTTGTTCTACTTGCCAGGATTTATTTTATGATGACCAAGAGGGCTAAATTTGACGGAATATGCATAGGTATAATTCAGAAAGGCAATGAATAAATATCATGGGCCCATGATATTAATCACTAATTTTGTCTGTATTTATATAAACGTCATTATATAAATTTATCACTTGAAGTTCACTTCACACACAACTCTTATATTAGTGTTATCTAATTTTAAGAACTGGACATGGGTTATCAGAAACAGCTAAAGTCTATAAAACAATATAAATTCGTATTAAGAGGACACAGTACGATTCAATTGACAAAAATCGGTCAAAAAATCAAATTTAATTTTTTAAGCCTAAATTATTCTTCATATACTTTTCTCTATAACCTCACAAAATTTGAAAGCTCTCAACTTAAAAAACGCAGAATTATGATAGCTTTTATGTTCATTTTTATTTACATCCCTAAGGCACAAATCAAAACTTTAAACTTATTTATCTTAGAAAGATAAAATAACAAGTTTGCCTTCATTTAAAATGGTAAGGCTTTTTTTCTGTGGTGCCTAATGCTTTGAATTTTTTTTTATGTATTGCTACAAGTACATGTAAGAAAACTTGGTATGCATTTTTGAAACAAAGCAATACCTATTTTTTTAAAAGTAATTGAACTCAGAATTTATACATTTTTAAGGAATTTTCAATAAGCATTCAGAAAAAGAAGTATTTTACAAATACCAATCATGTTATCGCAAAACGCATTCCAGCTTTTGTTATACATAGTTTGACGTATGTATTAATCAAATTTCAAGCGTGCACGTAAATTTTTGTAGAAGGAGTAGCATTTTAAATTCACTTCACAAATTTTAAGTTTTTTCCTTAAACATTTAAATGGCCAGCGTTTAATGAAATTTTGAGCTTACAATCTGTTTTACATAATATACGCAGATAGGAGGAAACCAAAAAAAAAATTTTTAAAAATCCATAAATTAATATTGTTAACGTAAATCGTACCCTTAAATTCATCAATCTAAATAAAATAAATCCCACGGACATATTTTATCTAATGTTTACATATGGAACCCAAACTTTTAATTACTTTTGCTGACATTAATGCAAAATTTCCTAACAATTATTAATTTGTAGAATTTTAAGGTATAATAAATGTTCATTAGATTGACTTCTAAAACCCCTTTGATTAACTTCTAAACATTTGGGGAACCCCCACAACTTTTGACTTTCTCGGGAGCATTAAAAATTTTGAAGTTTTCAAAAATACGGGATTTCTTTCCCTTTTAGTAAAAAAAAAAATTAAAAAACTGTGTTTTGATCTATTGAAGAAGTATGAAAATTAATTAATGCTGTTTAAGTTATCCGACTACGTTCGGAATCGTGATTTTAAACAAGCGCATAAATGGATAATTTTATTATTTAGTGTCTTTTAATTTTGGAATACATGCAAAAAATTGTTTTAAGGACATTTGGCCCAAAAAAAATTATTTAAATACAATATTTCGGAAAAAATTAAACCCTTGTCCTTTATTCATAATGTTCTCCTTTTGTGCAAAAAAGTTTCCCTATTATAAAATATTTTGCCTGTTTATTACTCAGACCTCTTTTACAGAGGCTCAATTATGTTTTTTTAAAAAATTCACATTTTTTTAAGAGTTAAAACTAATTGAAATATTTACCCATTTTTTTTTTAAAAAAATTTAAACCCTTCTGTTTTTAAAACATGGATAACCCCCTTTAAAACATATTTTAAAATTTTTTATTTGGGGCCTCTGTCCCAGAGGTTTTGTGCTATATACAGGCAAAATATTATTAAAATAGAAGCTTTTTTTCACAAAAGGAGAATATTTTAAAAAAGGGTTTCATTCTATGTTCATTTTTTGTCAAAATATTGTGCTTAAAAAATTTTTTTATTGTAATACTATTCTTAAAAAAATTTTTATATAAAATTTCTAATCTATGTGACACTAAATATCATCAATATTATCCATTTATACGCTTTTGCAATATCATGTTTCCGAACGTTGTCGGATACCTTAAATGAAATTAAATTCAAAATATATTAAATAAAATCTGATCCCCCCTAAACTTTAACAAACTGTAAAAAAATCCTGTTTAAAATTAATAGGAATCATAAAATTAACGTTGAGTCTAACATTAGGGAAGACATTGTTAAGTTGAATAATGAAAGATCCAAAAGTTAAATTACGATTCAATCGTAATTTATTGACTGTCTTAAGATAGTCTTATTTGTTGAGGGGTTGTTTTTGTTAACGCAAAGTTCATACTTCACTAAGCTCCAAATATTCAAAAGTGTACGAACAAAATATTTCGATACGTTATTTCGACAAAAATTTAAATAACATAAAGAAAGAAAGGATGGCAGAATAAAAAGGAGCCTGGAATAAAATAGAGAGTGAGCCTTAGGGGCTCCCAAATACAAGACGTCAATGTTTATAAAGACAATAAAACCTCATTGGAAAATGAAAAGTCATAAAAAAAATTAGAGCTCGTAAATATCATAATTAATTGAAAGGAGTAAATTATCGATAGATTAAAATATATGAATATTAAATTCTATATGAAAAAACAAAAATATCGACTTTTTTTTGGGGCAACCCTTATAGAATCGATTAAAATCACAAAAGTAATGCATGGGATTGTGGTTCCAGTTTTCGTAATTAATTCATCTCCTTCAGAATTTCTTCCAACTAAATCTTCCAATTGATGGATTTTCTTGAAAACTTAAAGGAATACTCCGATACCTATTTCTGTCCTTTGACCAAGGTTCAAAATTGAGAGGTCCGTCACCAAAATCCCTCGAGTAGCTTAATAGAGCGACTTTAATATTCACTCACTCACTCATCAGATATCTAGTTTGCCAAAGAAAGTCTCACGGGCATACTAATAATTATAACTAGCGGAAACTTTTGGATACTGAATGAGATTTAATCTTTAAAAATAATTATTACAGTCTTACATGAAGGAATTTGGAGTAATCGATTCCAAAACTCATGTTTCTATGATATTTTATGT